GCCTTCTTCCAGATTCTGGTATGAACTCCTCATTCTACCGCTGACTTGTATGAAGATAGGGAGAGAACTAATTCGTCTGCTTCATCTAACTATCAGGCTCAATAGGAGTATCGTCAGCTTGATTTCTTCTATCTGCTTTAGGAATCCGAGCGACAGATGTGCTAAGTCATGTGCATGCAAGATTAGAAATCGCATGGGCTGTTCTGGACACACTTCTTGAGCAACCCAATATGGAGTACAATTCATCAAAGCCTCCAGCGATATGGGATGCCTTGCTTAAAAATAGTAATAATAATATTAAGCGTTATGATACCCTTCTCGAGGAGCGTCATGAAATATCCCCAACCTTGACTTAATTGCCGTATTATAACTGGTTTATAAGATAGTCCACCGGCTTAGTCTTTGCTCGACCGTAAGCTAAATGGAACTGGCCTCAACATGGAGTGTCCTCCGGCTCGACGAGCCCTGCACAAATGTAGCGCTACAGTTGTGGCATCTTTGATACACACGATTTCTGCCTATTCAATAATTACCTGTATCGGTGATGATTGATGATTGTCTACCCTATATCGTCTAGTCTAAATTCTCCAGATGTTACAACTGATTGACTAAAGTTTATGTTTTGATTTGATTTGATTGCCCGGGATATCTACCCGGGTATAGAGAGGTCTTATAAGCGCCTATGTATATTATGTTCTTTATGTTACTTATCCGACTTTACCTGTTCACTCCATTTGATACACACATACCTACACACCCCTGTTGTGCCTTACTTACTTATCCCTTCAAGGCCACTATTCTCTAGAAACGCTATCCAGAAGATGAGGAACATTCTGGCCTTGGCCTGGAATGTAATCCATTGTGTCCTAAATAATGCGGATAACCAGCACAGCCATGAGACGACTTGTAGCTGTAATGTTAAGCGACATGATAGCAAAACCACACGAGTCATAACCCAGTGAATGACACGACACGATTCAGTTCTTCATCGCAAATCATTCCCCTTGATAGCAGAATGGCGGTGATCATGAGTCGATAAAGGACGCGTCAACATTGCCGATATTCGCATGCAACTATCACCAAACTCACCACCACCACCACCAACGTCCCCAACAACCCTTGGAGTTCAAAAGCCCAGGTGCATTACCAACCGAGATCGTCGCTGTTGGGATGAAAATAGCATTTCCAAAAATAGGGAGTAAATGGGTTTCTTATTTTGGGCATCTTGGCCTGTCTCTCACCAACAACGCGCCATTGAGATTGCCGGAGCTGGCGTACTTTACAAGCAACGATCAGCCCCCTTCACCACCAAGACTTTGCAGTCACGACGGAGGAGACCAATTCAGGTACAGGAAGCGTGGAGAAGGGGGGCAGGAATCCCCAAAAACCCCTTCAAGGAGGACAGATGCGCATGGGTAGGATGTGCGATGATGTAGTGATCAACCTGATCGTGTCCCCGTTAGGTATGGCATTTCCAGTCAAACTTTTAAGCCCTGTAGTACGGAAGGCTTCTGGAAGAGGACCCTGATTCATTATCCTTGGAAAAAACAAAACGAAGTTTTCTCACAAGTCCAAGATGTGGTTCTAAAGATAACGCTCGCTTGCAACACGAGTTGGTAGCCGAGTGCGGAAAGATGACGACGTTGAAGATAAAACTCGAACTGCTGGTGATGAGATTTAACATGCTTGAAAGTACCCAGTACAGTGGCCCTCAGCAAGGGAGAGGGGTGTGGTGGCTTGACTGCAGTGTAGTGCACGGCACCAGCCGCTCGATGATAGATGGGCATGCTCAGTTGACGAAGTCATCGAGCTTGAGATCGTAGTCGAGGGAGCGCCAGCTTGTCTGGTGATGTGAACGAATTCGAATGAATCGACATTCCCCCAACTGCGCTCCAAGAAGCCAGCGTTTGATCCGTTACGTGAAACCAATGTGTTCAAGAAGCCCCAGACAGGAGAGTAAGGTAGGTGTCTTGAACACTGAGCTCAGTTGGGGCCTCCTGAAATGCAGCCACCCCTGAAAACCGAATCGTCAAGATCTGGCTCCGATCCCACAAAGCAAAGCGAATAAAGTTGCGGTTATTCAAAGTAGGGGTTCGCCGATGCTGGAGGCTGACCACGGGGTCGCATTCAACCCCAGTATACGGAAACAGGGTGCTGTACTCCGTATGTACATAGGTATACATAACAGGTGGATTAAGGTAGAGCTCGTTCCCAAATCGGGCGTTGGCGGTGGAAGCTCACCCTACCTACCCAGTAGACCAACAGAAATCGTTATTGACTATCCGTACTCCGTACCCTTCACACATTCGTGTGACAAAGCTCAAGATAATACATAATCATGCCACAGGTATGGGTCCAGTATTCGCGGCGATGTGTATGCAGTTCTGATAATCAGGACCCTGATCATATCCAATCCTAGGCATGCATTGCTGTTTTCCATCTGATTTCTCACAGATGTCAGTAAACTTGCACCATTTGATTGCTAAAAATGTTGGACTGGGGAACAACGGGACGGCCACGAGAGAGGAGTTTGAAGCTCCCGTTGTTTGAATGCTTCGACCGAGTGGTATGAGACTGAATTGTTTAGTGGACCTGAGGGACGAGCAAAACTTTCCGATGACGTCAACGCCTCTAAAGAGCTTGCTGTTCGTGATGCTTCCCTCCTCCTCGTTCATCATGCGGGGGCATCCATCAGTGGACTCGAAAGATGGATGATACCTAGCGTCTCAGCCTGACTGGCGAAAGAGGGTGCCACGTTGACAACTCTAACCTGCTCTGTAACGAATGCTCCCATGTTTATAGTGAGTACGGAGTAGTCCCTTGCCATTACCTACTCCATCCATGTCTTGCTCCTTAGAGGCTTCGATAACGGTTTCAGCCTCGTGGGTACGGGTACGGTAGACTGACGTGGAAGGATCTTGGACAGTAACTAATCATGACATCATGGTTGTGGCTGGGCCCATCTGTTATGTTATGCTAGGTTGTGACGGACGAACAAAACCCTGGTCCCCCTGTAGGGCGAAATGGGACAAGTTTGGCGACATCTCCGCTCTGATGAACGCTAATGTTCCGGAAGTCAATCAGGCGTCTCGTCTCACTCCAAGGTGGCTCGTGATATCTTGCAGGCTCTTCAAGTGGGTAGTGTACGAGAGAGAGATGCATTTGACCCAATACCGATACCGCGCACGAAGTTGCCTAAAAGTGCCGTACAATGCAATGCCGAAGCTGAAGAAGAAGCTGGAACTTGATACCGGTTTCCGTGCAAGCTGTCATTTGTGGGGTTGACATCTGAATTGATCCATACCTAGGTATGAATGAATTGAATGGCTTTGTGTTCACCTGCCTGAGCGTGTGGTGAACTAACACACATAACATCTCAAAAAAGGGGATAGCCGAGCACGACAGGGCATTGTAAGCCATGACAAACAATACAGTAGACTATCCTCGAAAGGTGGTCGAACCTGGAATTCCAAGAGATTGTTCATCAATCAACAACGCCCCAGAGCTTCATCTGTAAGGAAGGGTGTGAGGGGAAGGAAGCGTTAGATGGGGTACGCAACTCGCCCGAAAATTGTGTGGTGTTCACACCAAGATACCCGCCGCATGGTAGATGAGCGTTGTGAGCTAGCTACCTGAGTACTATAGGTACCAGCCACACGTTCATGGCCATTGGTACCTAGGGTAATGATGGCCTTGTCAGGGCCTGGAAGAGTATCAATCTCTAGGTGAGTCGGACTGAGAAAACTGTAGGAACCCGGACGACTTGAGATGTCTTGACCGTATCGCTGAAAATCTGGAGGACAGAGAGCAAAGAGGTTGTCTTTGGCGATTACATTGACGTAACGAACAAGTACGCCCGATACCGTTTACTTCAATTCTGCTAGTGAACGTTGTGATCCGGGCAAGATCTTGCCGGACGTGGCTCAAAAACAATTTGCCGAGATTAAGCCCAGACGAAGGGCTGCACCGTTGTCATGGACTGGCGAGTTGAACGCAGAGCTGGCTCGATTGCATATTTCCGTTCTCAAGCCCAGTAGTGGCACGGTCCTGCATCTCTGGTTGCACACCCAAGTCGGAACATGCAATTGTTGGATGGACTTGACTGGGATTAGGATGTGTTCCGAGATGGCACCAGACGGGACTTGACAGGGTGACCCTGGTCAAGGCAAAGCACCAACGGCGTTTATTAGTGAACGCTCGACATAATTTCATTGAGACCAGATCAAACGCTCTCGACCTGGAACAAGGGAGCTCCAAACAATCAGAACCGTAGGGATAGCTGTATGCTTTGTCAGTCATTCATCCAATTGACTGGACCGCCAGCTTGACTCTGTTGAAGGTACTAGGTACTTATTTTGTATAGGGATTTGAGGGGAGACTGTTTCGGAAGTGTTAGAAAACAAAAGGTAGAGTGAGTTAAAAGCTTGGGCACTCTGCATACTTACTCCGTACTTCAAGTTTAAACCAACCACAGCTCGTCAAATCGATCGAACATGTTGCCATGTTGTTAGTTATTTGCCTATGCTTGGCAACATAGAAGAAATCCGCCTTTCGATAGTTACATGAGTCATAGTCAGGAGGGATTTTGGTCTTGGGATATCGTGGTCCTCCAAGATTGCTTGCTCATGCCTACCAAGGGTCGGCTGTTCGAACGGTTGGTGCGTGTAAGCTAGAGTTGCCAGCTAGAGACCTTTACAGGTAGGTACTTACTGTACCTAAGTTATGCACCCCCGGGACAAGCAAGACAAGGTATTGCCACGAAACAAACATATAAGATTAATACTTATATATTAAACGGCAATACCAGGCAACTTATTGTGGCAGCAGGTGTAATATAGTAGTAAAGGAACAAGGAGCCTGATCTTGCTAGAGCACTAGTATTTGTTCCAGCCATGCATGCCGGTGCTAGCTGCAGGATTTCGTATAGTCCTTATCCGTATGTGCCCCACGATTCTTGCTCATTTGTCGTGAAGTCATGGTAATCGACGCTGTTTGGCTCGTCATCTCCATACTTTATCATTAATCTCCTTTTCTGCCTCCGTCATCTTCTCCATGTCCCCCATGTTCTTCATCATTGCCTCTTCAGCATCAATATCTTTGACCTTGACATTGTTCTTCCCAGCTTGTCCTTTTGCTTTCCCCCAGGCGCTTGCAAAGGGTTCTATGTAGTTGTTACCGGAATCCAATTCCGGCTGCTCTGGAGGTCCACAGTGTTCAAACTTCTTAGACCTTTGCCCATGGCAATCCCAGTACGTCGCGCCCTTGTGCGCGCAATTCTTCCCAGTCGCACACTGGAAGCCACCGCCTTTATTTTCCACGTTTGGGGAGGCAATGACACCTTGTGGGCCATGCAGACCCTTCCTGGAACGTCCTTTGGGCATCCGAGCCGTATCTACATCGTTTCTTAACCACTCTATCAATACCATTTAGATAAGGCTGTGACTTACAGGCAGTGTGCGCAATCCTGTACCAGACACAGACTCTGTCTCCCGGGCCGCCATTGCAGCTATATGAAGCCCCAAAAGCCCAAGACTTTGCTACAGAGTAGCCTCCCGAGATCCACGGGAAGTTGATAGTCGCACTGTAAGTCTTGGAGATAGTCTTCGTGTTGCTTGTACTAACAGAGCAGCCCTGGGTTTCGCTGCAATATCCAACTTCCTGCATATGTTTAGTACCAATACAAAGATGTAAAAGAAGCTGTAGGGTAAAGAAGGAAGGGAAAAGGCTTACCGAAAGCTGTTCATAGTAGTATCTCTGGTGGGGCCATCCTTGAAGTGTATGTCAGCGAGGTCGAGCCTAGTTTACTCGAAAGCATTATACCGACCATTGCCGTCAAGGTTTGGCTGTTTGTTGCCGCAACGGCGCTGCAACTTGTGGTCTCGAGTGTCAGTTTGGTAATCTTCAAAGTCCTTCCCCGCGTGATTTTGAAAGAAACACGACTTCGTATCCTGTTTAACAACATCCTCAAGATCCCATTTTACACCCGAGCACTGTATGGCAGTATAGGGATGATCAAAATCTACAGAACATGAAGGGCCTCCAGAATACTTGGGATCGGAGTGAACAAAGAAGCTGGCACTACCAACTGTAAAATTCCCAACACCATTTTCGTTGACGTTAGAGAAGTCAACGGATTCTTTGGCTTTAATCGTTGTGCCACAGATCCTTGTAATCAAGTCCCCACCAGTGCTAAATGCAATTAAAGAGGATGCATTTGTCTCTATGTTGTGAATAAAATGAAGTCTTACATCGGCCGCATACGCGACAGACAGAAGCAGATAAACACCATAGAGTAACCTCATCTCTGGCGTTAACAGAAGAGGAGAGTCGCTACTGGAAACAAGGTTAGTGGCCGCCAGACATTTCCTATACTAGAAGATAATACCTACCGCCAAAGCCAGGTTCTGTTTGTGCTGGTTGAAAGGATAAATGGGTATGTTTGCTTGATCTGTTTCGCTGAGAGTTCGGAGAATATTGGAAAATATACCAAGAAATCTCATGCTCTTCAAAAGAGGGATAGACCATTTTATGCCAGTTTCTTATCAGCATTCTTGTAAGAAACTTTGAGGGCGCTTCGTATTACCTCTCGATTGACAACAGGGCTGCAGCTTCTCACACTCGAGAGTTCCACGATACGAAGCCTCACCTCTGGGATGACACGCACTCTCGACAACGCCATAGGAAAAATCTAGGTCAGTGACGGCTAGAGCACCGTCCCTGTGATCAATTCTCAGGCAAACCAAAAAGTTTGGCTACCACACAAAAGCCGCGAAAAAGGTTTATAAGTAAAAGTGCCGAGATACCATGACAAAAAGTCGGCGATCCAAAGGAAATAGTGTTCTTACCTAGGTATTCAATAACAAACTCCTGACTCCCCACTGAGGAAAGGACCTAGTACCTTATGAAGGGGGCGACAACCACGCGTCAAGCCACGCTCCGTACGCCACAAGGACGCTCAGAGCCACATCTGTCAGTCACGCCCATGCCTGAGCAGCTGAAATCTCAGGCAATGATCAACAAGATAAGGCAGTCAAGACATTGAACAGCACAGATGGAATCGGCCCAGAACATGCAATTGGGCAATAATGTGCCGAGGATTGGGGATCTAGCGCTGTGGCGTCGTCACGATATCGCCTCCAACTGTGGCTGTGAAGCTGTCTGTCGTCAAAAGCCCGAATAACGGATTGGATGTGCGGGGACCCAACCCAACCCAACCTAGACCCGAAGAGCACACATGCAAATCACCCACGTGTCTATTCTCAATCTGGAGTGAGTGGTGAAGATCTTTAATCGAAAGAACGGTACGGAGTAAACGGCCACCAAAGACTTAGACTAGGGAGGGACTTCGGCGGCCGCTACAATTGCAGCGCATGGCTTTTGCAAATGGCATTCCCAACGTCTGGACCAAACTGAATCAGGACAAGGGGTATGAGGGCAATGGTTCGATTGTGACGACTAGGTGACTTTCTTCATTCGAACATAGAGGATGGATAAGCTCTAAACCCTCGGCGTCCCTAAGGCCAATTAAATGATCGAGGGACTACTCCGGAACCTCTGCTAGATGCACACAAGCGCGCCTGGACAAGAGATGAACCATAGCTAAGGTAGTAAGTACCAAGACCAGGATGAACATACATATTGAGAATCCGAAGGGTTCAGCACAGCCACGCGTGAAGAACAGAGTAGGTCCCTTCTAGTTCTGGAGCTATCATATTGATAGACGTTCTGGAAGTGATAGAAATTATATCTGTGCTGCTGTAGTCTATTTCACATCGAAAACTACAGCACAACATCTCACCACGGGCTGACCATGGCATGCTCTGATGAATGACGGACCTGGTCAGGTGGTAGGACCCAAATGGGAAGGCCTAGAGGCAGAGGTCATTTCGGGCCGTGGATGTGAGTGATGCAGATGAGAAAAGGAACGGATGGGAACCCATCCGTCATGCCGCCAGACCGGGGACAGTAAACCAGGCCCTGCCCTACATGTAGGTAGTCTTCACACACATTGTACGGATGCGGTTGCAGGACTTTCCAAATGAGCCATCCTCCCACCAATAGGACTCATATGATGGATATATGTACCCAGCAGGGGGTATAAGGGAGCACAGCGCATACACATTGCGGCGGGAAACGGGAGATGAGGCATGGCATGGTCAGACTCCATCCTCAGCTTAGTAGGTAGACCGTAGACAGACAGGTAGGTGAAAAACATAACTACATTTCAGTCCCGTTGTTTTGATTTTCCCCATTCAAGGTACACCTTGTGGATGACTAGCGCTCGGTATGCGTGCATACATAGAACAGAAGTAGAGTTTTTGTTTCCATCAGATGTCATTGGCTCCATGACTTTAGTTTACCGACTTGAATAATTACCTAGTCGAGGATGGCGCTTGAAGAGGAGAATGGAAAGGCAGAAGGGGGAAAAACAAAACAAAAAAAAGGTCTCAAACAACGGTTTTACCCCAAAGCCCCGGTCTCCGATAAAAGAGCAAGCACCTCGCGATTCATTAGAACTTTCGATGAGGGGTGATTTTGGCGTGGGCAGCCGATGGCAGACGAGGTTCTGTTAAGATGCAAACCGATGACAGAGTAAAGATCCGATCCAACTAGTGTTCGAGTGTGGGTTTGGAACCTCCACATCCCACGGCTCTGGCGTTCCTGCGTAAGGGTTACCGCTGTTGTATCCGAGGCGCCAGGACCACAGCCTTTTAGAAACAGACCCGACAGTGAGAGACCGGGTCCCCATCTACAGCTTCGAATGGGAGCTAACTAACTGCTACAGTGCATTACAGCGCAGCAAGACATTGGATCCAATATCCAATATCAGACCTCAACCTAGGTAGCCTAACCACCCGGGGAAAATAACGGGACGGAAATGGGATAATTCTGAGGGCCCAGTGGTCAAGCCTCACCCCTCTTTCACCTAACCCCCGATAAAACCACTCTCGCCGGCACGTACAAATGTGCGCTGTAGCGATACTTAGATGCAGATGCATTCATTCACCGGTAGACGTGCACTTCTGTTTAACTCAATCTACAGTCTAGAGACAACCTAACGCAAGTCTCATCTGTTCCATCCAGTAGAAGGGTGCGGAAGCTAAATTCCCACAATGCTGCAATGGCGTCACTGCCCGAAGCCTCCCTTGCTGTTCTACCCATACTCGGGCTGTCTGTCCTGTCACAAGCCCTCACAAGCCACATGCCCTCTTCCGATCAATCACAGCGAGAAAGGATCCATGAAGAAATAAAGAAATAAAGGACATGGGCTGTTACCATAACCTCCCGAACCTAAGGAGAAAGTACATACTTGTTCCTCACTAACAATTTCCAGACAACACGGACGGTCGATATGTACCAGACAGCGAACGAACGACGAGACGAGCCTCTTCTTCCGCCTTCTGCCTCCCCTCTACGGAGGTAACTCTTCTCTTTCTCCACCCATGCCCATGGTCTCTGTAGCACAAGGGTTTTTAGTTGCTAGTCTCTAGCTGCCCGCCGACCCTAGACCTGGCGGATGAGAAGACTTCTGGGATCAGGGTCCCCCTTGCTGGTCGCTGGTTTGCCCCCCCCCCATGGCTTCAACCCCACAGGCTCCCGAAAATCGACGGGTGGATATGTTATGTTGGTATGGATGCATGTCCTTCTGACTCTGCCTGCATTGGTGAGCGACACAACAGTGCATCTTCCTGAGTCGACCATCACAGTACGGATACAGACAGTTTTGATGGATACAGAGAGATAGGCTCATCTAGATCGGTAGTGACAGCCCTTGAGTGTCGAGGTAGGAGCGTCAAAGTGACACCCTCTGGTCAGGCCTCCCAGGTCTACAAAATCGACGCTGGTAGGCAGGCTGGCTGCTAGGTACGTACCTAGATAGGTACATATACAGCAAAACACACCTTTTGATGCAAGGTATCGCAAGCTCCAGCCACACATGAACAGCAGCATGTATGTACAAGACAAGGGCACGAGAGAGACATCTTAGCCAGCAAACACTGACAGTATCGCAATTAATTGATTGATCAATCAATTACTACCTACTAATCTTTGTTTGACGGAATCCCGGCACTGCGGACAAGCTATTGTCGCCCCCAACATCACATCCACTTCAACTGCTTGGCTCCGCGTAAAAGAAGGACACTTGCTTGCGTCGACACCTGCAAAACACATAACCGCCGCTCGCTGGAACCCAACAGTCGAACAGTCCAGTCTCCATCGGCAAAGGTGTTTTCCTTTCTCAAGTCTCCCTTAGAGAGCTTATGCCCCGATCGACATACAGTGCAGTCGCATTCTGACGACAGAAGTTGACGCCGCAGTGTTGCGACAGTTGAGATAGGCTTCGCGGGTTCAGCTCTGAACAAAACAAAACAAATACAGTACATACACACAATATTATCTCGGCATCACTTGAGATCACCGCATTACGTCGCATCCTGACTCCAATATCGCACCACTCCCTGGCGTCTGGCACAGGCGCAAAACCGTGTGGCACAAGTACCCTCCGTTCGCTATAGACACGCCTCCTCCCGATTCATATCCACATTCACCTCATCCACTCGATCCACGACACCGCCTCGGCGCCCCAGCCCAGAGCTTGGGACGTGGGTAGGTACGAGGTACTTACTGTAGGAACTTCGAAGTCAGATCCTCGTTCTCCGTCCATCGAGCCTTTTCAGTTTTCACCCTCCACTCCTCTGGCCTGGCGGGACTGACGACAGGTCCCCACCACTCCTCCAATATACCCTTACCTTCTTCTCTAGCTTACTTACCTTACCTGACCCTTCTTAATTACTATTTACACCACCTGCTACAATATCCCACGGGCTTCACGCACCTCTCTTCTATTTCTACTTTATCCTCTACCCTCGCGAGAAACTGTCGACCTCTGTCAACACTCGCTCAGTACAGCTGGCTCGTCGCTTTACCCTGTCTCGCCGTTACAACGCGTCTAACGGCTTACCGCGATTAACGCTTTCCGCTTCGCTTCGCTTCGCTTCGGCCAGCACCACCATCCCATCCCACACCACAACCCGTCCGTTGTCGCAACAATACATTGAACACTACACCTCAAATCAATGAATAGAGGCAGCAACTGCATTATCCAATAACCTATTTTCGAAACTTGCGCCTACGTATTCTGTTGACAAACTTGCAACATTGCCTGCCGATCGTCTAAACTTAAAGACATTGTTCTTCCGCACTGCGCTGACAACCTTTCGACGTTGTTGCTGTCTTGAGACGGCCCAGCACGCTCGTCTCGACATGTTTCGACAAAGGTATGCACCATACGATCAGTTTG